TGGTCAAATTGGACTACACGTGTCCGTATAAATTCCATATGCAACTATATCCTGGGTTAACTCCCTTTAGGCAATTACTTGAAAAATTTTAATTTTGCATTGTAATGGCTTTCATATTGGAGAGACGAGTAGGGACGAACTGGACACAAAATAATTTTTACTTTAGTTTAAAACATCAGCCAACTGGTTAACAGCGATTGAAAGAAGAAGAAGAAGAAGAAGAAGAAGAAGAAGAAGAAGAAGAAGAAGACACTAATAACAATAATACATTTGGCTGTGATGCATGTACATGTTATACCTTTATCAGACTGAGTGTCATGATGGTTATATTGGGTTTCGTACATTTTTACCTCAGTGTCACTTAGTTTACGCCTTACCCTGTCACTCAATAATAATTATTTAATAATAACGTTCTGCTTCAGTTAAAAATTGGCGGTGTCTCGGAAATGTTTTATTGTATGAATTTGGCAACAGGGCAGAGATTTTTTTTTTCCTGTATTCAAACTGAAAATGTTTTACGTTTTTATTTGTTATCGTAACAAAGAAACCACTTAAAAATCTTTAGTTTGGGAAATGGCTTTGTTCCATTTATTTAGCCTTACTATTTTTTCATTCAATAAACCAAAGACTTCATTTCTCATTATACGCCAATTGAATCAATAGGTTTTAAACAAATATTTATTCTAAGATTGTGGTCTTTTGTCTAAATTAATTTTACTGTAAGATAGAAGGAAACACGTTACAAGGTACTCAGGGGGGACTGAACAGGTAATAATCTGCGAGACTGGGTTGCTAACCGTTATTCCTACTGCAAAACACTCTTTATTTCGATCTTTGTTAAAAGATTTTACAATAAATAAACAAATGAAACATTTAATGAATTTTAATTTGTATAATCACATTCGTGGATTTCCTCCTGATAGGTAAATATCATTCACAACGTATCTATGGGACATTTTGATTATCAATTGCCTGGGTGGTTAATCAGAAATTTCATCATTTATGATACTAAATCCCAACTTATTTATAAGTCGTAAAACTAAATGTAGGTTTCTTTGCGTAGGTATACGCTTAATTTATTCTGTCACTGGGCCAAATGCGCCTTAGGAAAACTGTGTTTGGATCTTTTCTGTTTATTCACACCAAAATAAAAAGGATTTATATTTACTAAAATTCACATCAAATTATCCCAGAGCGAGGCCCTTCCATTGCACTCCAGTTGGGTTGACCCTTGTGATCGTCCCAAATATGGGCGATTCGGGTGCGCTGATTTAAATTTTACCTAGGCTCAAAGACCAACTAGTGACATCAGTAAGAAAGCAGACACTTACTTATCTACTAAGTTTAACTTGGCATGTTACAAAGTCACTACATTACGAGGTTAGCAAATTAGTTTACTTCTATTCTATCCCTATTTCCTCTGCAAATGTTTTGAAAAGCTACAATCTTTAGTTCCGCCGAACTAGGACCCGTCATGCCGTGTACACAGGTACGAACCATTTTTATACTTTTCGTATTCCATTTGTAGGAAGGAAGTGCCCGCCGGAGATCTTCTTCCCAAGAACCGCTACTTTTATGGAGCAGACTCCCGAGAGGATGTTTCTCGATCACTATAATCTTAACCTCATCAAATCTCTAGTCCGCTGTTATCTATTCCACATAGTCTCACTTGCGAAATACAACAACCTCATTCGGTAACCGTCTACCTTGGGTTTTGTATTAGGTGAACATTTTTAGAGTATAAAATAAAATATATATATATATATATATATATATATATATATATATATATATATATAAAATAAAAGACGTGGGATCGTATAGCGCCAAATCATTAATCTGACTTTGAGTATTGAAATCGTAACTCAATCGTATCGATCTACTAACCCTTGTTATATAGCAGGCGTCCGGTTTCTTATTTCGCAATCATTTGTTTCTTTTTCTCATTGCCCAGCCTCTCCATTACTTTCCCTTACTCTCTCTCTCGCTCTCTCTCTCACACACACAGAGACAACCATACACAAGCACTTATAAATAGACGCAAGAATTCGGTCAGTAAATATAATAAACCACAGGTTGATTCATTTTTTTTCTCTCTCTCTCTCTCTCGAGTCTCTCTAATTTTGCCTCGTGTTTTGTTCATTCTTTCATTGTTTTATTCACCATCTGTCCGGTCCTTGGTTATTAATGAGACAACTGCAGTCATTATGGGTAACCGTACGGTTAGGGGGAGAGCGAAAAAACAAAATCCAATACTCGTTGCTCCCAAAAGCAATCCCATACCACCTACCCCACTACACGTTAAACACATACCACGGTTTTTAAAATGCATCAAATCGTGTATGTGTCATTGCATATCTAAGGTTGTTAACAATTTGATGTCCCTCTGTCTGTTTGTTTGCTTGTCCATCTCAGTATCTATCTATCTATCTATCTATCTATCTATCTATCTATCTATCTATCTATCTATCTCTCTATCTATCTATCTATCTATCTATCTATCTATCTATCTATCTATCTATCTATCTATCTATCTATCTATCTATCTATCTCGGACAGGCTCAACTGGTTGATGTCAGGCAAATGACAAGTAAATTTATGGTACTGGACGAGATTTTCATTTTCATTTTCTTCCGGGTCCCGACCAGAGACCTAAGGTCAGAAATGGCATCATGATATTTTCCATTGAACATTTCTGAACCTAAGATCACACACATTTTACATAGATAAAACCCTTCATAAGGTGTGAGCTGTACTTGTGAGAGCACTTTTTTGAGGGGGGTATTTCTTTAAGAGATGGGCTTCCAGGGATCCCTTAATGAGTCTATCATAAACTTTTTCAATCAAACCCAGGGTCTCAGCCGCAACTGGAATTATTCATGTCTCCATGTCCCACATTTTTTAAATTGCCACTTCAAGATCCTTGTATTTTGATAGTTTTTTTAAAAGATCTTCCAAAATTACAATCTGCAAGAACTGCCATATCAATAAGAAATCACATTCTGTTTTTGTGGTCTTTGATCACGACGTCTGGGCGATTGCCTTTGATTGTTCTGTCTATGTGTATTGTAAAGTCCCATAATATTGTTACAGATCCTATGTTTGTTGTTGTTGTGTTATTATTATTATTATTATTATTATTATTATTATTATTATTATTATTATTATTTCCTTTGTTTTCTGTTGTATACACATTTCTTTCCTGGTCCCAAACAGTGACCTAAGGTCAAAAATGGCTTCATGACATTTTCCATTGATCATTTTTTAAAAAAAACCCAAACTCTAAGATCGCGTACATTTTACATAGATAAAGCACTTCGTAATGTGTGAACTGCACTAGTGAGTACAATTTTTTGTATTTCGTTAAGGCAACATGGGCGACCAGGAATCCCTTCAATGAGTCTATTGGAATCTTTTCCAATCAAACGAGGGCTCCAACTACAAGTGGAATTATTGATGTCCTCATGTGTCACATTTTTGAGATTTCCATTTCCAGATCCTTGTATTTTGATAGATTTTTGAAGATCTTCAAAGATACGTTACAATATTATTATTATTATTATTATTATTATTGTAACTAGTTTTTCTTTCATTTAATTTTGTTGCTTTTAAGCAAGGTTCAGACAAGTTTTAATTTCTACAGCCATTAAATAAGCGGGTTAGATTGGAAATAAGGAAGAAGCTTCCGACAAGATTTATTTGTTATTATTTAAAAAAATAATTATTAGAATTTAAAATCTACCTGAAAGTTAAAATTAAAAGAAACAAAATAAGTTAGAACAAAATGTACCAGAAATGAATAATAATTGGAAACAAAGCCTCAGCTAAGAAATTTGGATAATTTTATCTTTTAGATTATTAAACCAAAGTCAATTTCCAGCTTCATACTTTATATCAACTTCATCAAAGAAATGATATATCGATTATGAACAAAAAAGAGACATCCACTCGCCATACACAAACGCGCGCAAGTATTAAACACCACATACATACAAAAAACGCATACATACATACATATATATGAACACACATACAAACACAAACAAGGTAGAGTAATGGTTAGTTCGTCTAGTCTGGTTGACCATCATTACTAAAGCGTAATGAATTCGATCCTCACCGAGTGCTTCGTATTTGTAGTTTAGTAAATAACGCGCACAGACATATATAAAGGAAGTGCTGAAAAGTTATCCGCCTGACCCAGAAAACATTTCCCAAAATAGATTCAGATGTTTGGTCATTTGACCAGATTTCGTTAATCGGGTCGGATCGAGAACTTTTTAGCACCCCCTTGTAGGAACATCTCACACACACACACACACACACACACACACACACACACACACACACACACACACACACACACACACACACACACACACATTAAAAAGATGGTTGTAGATTCAAAAACGTGACATTGTATGAGCTTTAGATTGGTGAGTGAGTGATGCATGGGTAGGGATATTGGTGGGATGGTGGTGAAGAATACAAGAAGGACGGGGTGTATATTGGTGGGTATTGGCGCGGGAGGAAAACTAATAAATGTTTCGTACCACTATGGAGTCACATGTTTCTCCAGGCTTCGTACTCAACTCGGATGACTAACAGCATTAACTTAAGTGGCGGTGCTGAAGAAGGAGACGAGGACGACAACGTCAAACAGGAGACAGCTTAACCAATAATACGACTTTAAAAAAATGTCACACGCATCAACCAAACCACTTGGTGTGCAATGCAGTTTTTGCCAAACATTCTGGGTATATAATAGAGGCGGACCGTTGGGGTGTGATTGGGCGTGGTCTTATAGGGTGCACCCTTCTTACCCTACTAAAAACAGTATAATTTTATTTGCCTTTTACTTGTCAACTTGTTTCAATCTACTTTTAAAATTCTTGAATGAAATGCCCAGTTGAATGCAAGCAATTGCTTAAAAAATTCTCGTCAGTATTGCATGAACTCATTCTTTGTATTGTGGTTTCAGCCGATCCATTCTACAGCCCTCTTCAGATGTATGGGAAGAAATTACAGCAAGTGAGTGGAATGGTAGAAACAATGTCATATGTGGAGAGACATGATCGCCCACTCCCTGAAAGGACACGGCATATAAAAAAGAAGAAGAAGAAGAAGAAGAAGAAGAAGAAGAAGAAGAAGAAGAAGAAGAAGAAGAAGAAAAAGAAGAAGAAGAAGAAGAAGAAGAAGAAATATAAGCAGTAATAAAAAGTTGTTTTTTTAACGAAACATGTCGGTTTCCCGCCAATTATTTGGCTATTTTATACCGATGCTCAGTGTGGATTGTCATCTTTCGTGTATGGCGTAACTTGAGGACTCTATAGATATTGACTCAGTTTTCTACTCGATTTATTTGCCATAAATAAAAATCATTCTAATAT